AACCATCCGTCTCGTGAGAGGATCGCACTGTTAAATATCAGATGGATTGGTCAATATAGAACACGTACACAAGGATATTTCTTTACGGAACGAACTTCAAATATGCGTGTCGACGACGATGCGACGTGTTGCAAAACGCGCAAACGATCAGTCGCTCACCGCATCGTGTTACTTTTTTAACTAACTTTTGCAACCCCGTCCACTTTAATCCGATCCAATTAACTCCGCAACATCCCTCGCGAAATGGCTACACGTGTACCTCCCCGTAATGCCGTATTTCCCCGTGGAATTCCCGCTCTACGGTCAACTAAATAACCGTGCCGCTCATAGTCGAACACGACTAAACGCGATCGCCTACTTTCGTCTCGAGATCATCCCGTTGTCAATTAATCGTGTATCTCTTTTTTTTCGACTCGACAATACACTTTGGACTCTTCTGGGTGCATGGAAAAACCACCCTCTCTCGGCGCGGTTCGACCGAGTCGCCGTGAATTCGACAACGACTCGTGCAACTCTCTCTGGCCGAGGTCCTCAGACCGGTGCTCCAGGACTTCCCGATAGCTTAAGCCCATTAAATACATTTCCACTTCTTTTATTGACCTTCCGGTATCAGCCTCTTACCCTGCTACCCCTTCTTCCTTCCATTCCCTGCCCGCGGAGCAACCCCACTCTAGTCGGCACGGCGCAAAGGTAGCGCCACGGTAGTGCTGGAAGATCATTCACCAAAGCGACGCAAACAGCAGATTTGGATAAATATTAAAAGCTGTTACCGAACACACCGAGGAGCATTGCCTATTCTCGCCCCCTCTTGCCCCTCTGGCCTCTGCCTCCTTCCCCGAGACTCTCGGGGAAAGTGTCGCCGAGTCCCTGCGCTCGAGCGGACGCAAATATTTAGCCAAGGCAGTGCGGCACGAGGAACTGCGGTTGAGGTTAAGCCATCGGATCGTTAATCCTGATTAATCCCGGTAATCCGTCAGAATGATCACATCCCAGCGAAAGAGACTCTTTCTCTTTCTCTCCACGATCTATCTTGGCCCTTAATGACCCTCTTACGCGGATCACGTGCAAGTAGCTGCCTCTGCGCGACGTCCCGAAGAAACGTAACTTCTCGACGAAATTGACAACTAAGAATTTACCATCTGACGCGATACGCCATGCAAAAAATGTCAGCGTTAGGCCATTTCACGAGCATTCCGCGACGTCCTTGCATCGGACAGCAACCGGCAGTCACAGGCTGCTAAATGCGACCAATACGACTGGCTCGGAGCGCAAATCTGCCGCATTTCGCACAGCGCAAACATCGCGTCGCCGAATCAGATGTCTCGCGAGGCGATTAATCCGCATTGCGCGTAAAAATCCGCTCGTCGGCCAAACGGCCGCGATCCCCCGTCGCACGCTGCACCGCGCGAAATCGCGGGTTGAATTTAACGAGGTTCGGATCGCGCGCGCACACCGCTCGGTCGGCCCGGCGAGAAAAATGGAGCCTCGTGGCTGCGAAAGGGGGATGCACGTAGGACGACGTAAGACGCTCCCGCGTTCACGCTCCCGCCGTTAGCGATTCATTCGCGATGCGTGTACTCGCTCCGCTGCCGTACGTTCCCGCGAGAACTCGTCGACGTGCATCCCCCGCGAGTACGGCATTGCGGTACTCACCATAATAATGAGGGTGTCCCTGTCGCCGCCGGCGCCGCAACCGTCGTCGTCGTCGTCGTCGTCGTCGTCGTTGTCGTAGTAGCAGCAGTCTTCGTCGACCACCCTCGCCGTTGTCAAGCCACCCGCCAATCGGCAATGACGGTAGCCGCCACACTGCGGCGGAGAGCGCCACGGCAACGCTACTGCCGTCCGGAAAAAGCGGGGGCAGTCGCGGCGGCGGCGGCGACGACGACCGCCGTTGCTCGCGGCCCATGCTGCGGCACGCGAAATCCGACGCGCATGACATCGGAGACGGCGGCGGCGGCGGCGGCAGCGCGACGCGCGGCGTCGCGCAACGTCGTGCAGCCGGCGGCTACCGTATATGCTCGCATGCACACACACGCACACGTATGCGCGCGGCCCGATATTTCGGGCCGGTTCCACATGGTTGATCGAAAGAGCTGCTCTGACCCTTCAGCGTCACGGACGCTTTATTTCGCCCGCGTTCAATGCGCTCCGCACTACCACCGGGCTACCCTCTCCTACCTACCAACCTACGTCGATGCGCTCGACGAGAGTTTGGCTGAAAAAGCCCCGATGACACTCCGAGGGCGGTAGTCAGATAGGGGTGGACTTCTACATGTGCTGGAGTACTCGCTGACTCGTTTCATTAGCTCGGCTATTGCCGAGCACGTGTAGCTCTCTCTTCGGATACGATCGATCGCGCTTTGTATCTGCGAATCAATGAGATTGGATGTGTCAACGTTCGCGTCTATATCTCGAGAAGGTATCGAGTGGATGGGCGAGTTAACGATTTCCTGTGTGTAACAATTTTCAGCGATCGTAATTGAGATAACGTGTACTTGAATTGAAGTGTTTCAATTTCGATATTTCTAATCCGTTTGATTAAACAAGGCTCTGACCGCGTTTAGAAAGTCGATCGGATACGAAAAATGTCGATAACGGCAGAGATAATAGCAGAGATAATTGTCGTTTAACACAATCACGCTATCCTTTTCGTATTTTTTTGTATATACAGAATTTACGTATCGCTTTGTTTTACCATATTCAGCGGAAAATCTAACCATACATGTGTAGAAATATTTCTGTAAACTTTTCCGATATTCTTAAACTTCAAATGCGAAAAGAAGGCACAGCAATGTTCTTTACAAATTTTCTATTTAGAACATCCACACTTTCAGTATATATAAGCTGCGGAACTTTTGAATTAGACAAATATTATACTGTCAGATTTTATATTGAAAGTTTGTTTTCATTTTCGTTACATATTGAAAAATGCTCCTATTTATTTTTGTACGTATTTTCATTGCGTAAGAGCATTTGTAATTTTGTGCAACCACGACGTAAACTTTGCAGAGAAATATCAGTATTCTGTCGGTAAAGTTTTCAGTATCGCCTTAAGTAGATATGCACGAGGAAGGTAGATGCAGTGATAACAGAGCGGCTAGTTCAATGACGTTTGTTTAATGTTTTGCAGCCGCTATCGTTAAATCACAGCGAGATAATTATCGCTAGTTGCCCAGGAATTATCATGAATAGTGCATACGCAATCTGTTTATCGCGATAACATCGATATATTGACCTGTTATAAAAACGAACAAACGAACTAATATTTCTTGTACATTGAATTGCACAAAACGTCCCGAGTTCTCCTTTCTTTGATCAATACACACACACAAAACAAAATTTTATATATATATATATAAAATTTTGTTTTGTGTGTGTATATATATATATATATATATATATATCCTTAAAATATTTTAAAACTATTTATCGTGAAACAGACCACAAAAAAATTTATTTCAATTAATGTTCCCCGTAGGGATCAGTGTTCCTCGGGGTGGAATTTGAAACAATTTTTAACGATTAAACACCGTGGTTCAATCAAATATTGTGTGGCCGGAGGACATTAGCCTGTCCCTCCTCCCCAACCTGCAGCATTGAGCGAATGGACACACGAAATATAGATGTAAAAAAATATTGACCTAGCTAACATATACAGGCTGGTTCAATTAAACAACTATACACATAATTGACTTACGCGTAATAACATACATATATAAATAGGATTACACAGGTGTGATGCAGTTAAAAACTGTCAATATAGTTACTTCATCGGAGGAGTAACAGAATGCACAAAGAAGTGTTCGACTTTCAGATCAAAATCAAAAGTCCAATGCGGATAGCTTCGCGAGGAAGTTTTTCGTAAGAACCTGCCGGGACTTCGACCTTTGTCCTCCTCAACGTCGCGTATACATTCGGCTCATCTCTTATGCCGTTCGTACTGCGCGCTCTTGACGGGCCAACTAATCGATCTCGCGACGCGAAGCGAATCGCTCGCTCGCGCGCCAAATCGACGAGCAGCAGCTGCCACTATGGCGGCGGTCGGTCGGTAGAAGTCGCGCGCGCCACCTATGTATCCGATGAGCACACAGCGCGCGCAGACGGCGTCTTCCCGCGGCACCTTGCGGTGTCCGGTGACGGTACAAGTGCGGCGAGAATCGCGCGATTTTGCCACACGCAGCAGTGACGGTCCTAGCGCCGGGGGTTAGTCTCTCTCTCTTGCTCGGAGTGTTGTGCACGCCGTGTGACGGCGGCGGCGGCTTTTGTTTCTCGTGAGTGGTGCAGGAGGCACGGCGTGCCGCGAAGGGAGCACAAGAGGCGAGCGACGACGGCGACAGTGCGTTACGAGCCATCGTAGGACGAAGGAGGAGGAGGAGGAGGAGGAGGAGGAGGAGGTGGAGGAGGAGGAGAAGGTGGAGGAGGAGGAGGAGAAGGAGGAAGAGGAGAAGAAGAAGAAGAAGAAGAGAGAGAGAGGGGCCGCGTTGGGAAGCGCTAGCACGCGGTGTGGCGAAAAATGGCGAAGACGTTTCGTGCGGTGACGGTCACGACTCTGTCAAACAATGGACAGTCTACGCCGAAGTACAACAAGCCGGTCATGCTCAGTATTAATTATGACCCGCAAGGCCTCAGCATCGAGCTGGTCTCAGGTAAGGGGGACGCGCCGTTACGCCGTCTTGCTCCGCTGCACGGTAACGTTCGATGGCAACGCGGCCGACGCGACTGATCGATCATGCGACTGATCGCGACTCGGGCAACCTAACCACACTTCGCGTCGATTTTCCACCGAGTCTGGCGAGTCTCCTCTTCCTCGGTTTGTCACGGCTCGATCGCCTTCGCGTTGTCGAAATTTTGCAGCTCTTTCTCGTTCTTTCTCTCTTTTTCTTTCGTTCTCTGTCTCTCTCTCTCTCTCTCTCGCTCGCTCGCTCGCTCGCTCACTCTCGCTCTCGTGCCGCGGTATTGTCATCAAGCGACGCACGCGAACGACCTTTCCGACTAACGTGTTCCGATGAGTTTTTCGTTGGAGCAACTCTTCGGTTATTATTGGGACTACAATCTGACTTGTTGCCGCTTATTGCTGCGATTACCGATATGGCGATATAATTAGTTGCGCGGATGAATCAGATTCCATGGCTTGTACGCCACGCGGCATCGATGCTATTGTTATATTTTGCATGAGAAAGATCGCTGTGCACAAAGGGCCAGCGGCAATACAGATACAGGAAGTCGTTGCTCTGCACCTGTCCGACCGATTTTCGTCGACATCGCGCGGCGTTATGTCGCAATTACTCATCCACGATAATGTCCACCAATACTTGTTAGGTTTTTTCTTTTTAAGTGACAAACAGTGACTCTTAATAAAGAAAGAATACAAGATCAATAAGAGTTGGATGCTGGATATTTGTGCAGATTGAATAATTATTGGCTTTGTATTCTCTCTTCATTAGGTTTTACTTATAGAGCTATATAGATACATGTTTAGTAATTCTTAATTCCACTTTTAGGAGATCTTAGCAGCAGGGAAAAATCATCCTTACTGGAATTCCCAGTGACTCCGAGCACTGAATGCTCCCGTGTATCATCTCGAAGTTATGTTTTTACAATTGATACAGATAGTTTACTCATTACGTTTGCTAGTGAAACAGGTGAGCCCACCATTGTTTGCACCACTGTCTGCATGAGTTTTTGGAAGCTCTAGCCATTCAAAACTTCAAGGGCCAATTTTCAAATAGTAGTTTAGATTTAGAGTTGAAAGTGTGTTCGATGCGTTTGAACAGAATTTAAAGTTACATCCAAAGCTGAACTACTATTGAAACGCCAGCCCCAAAATAGCACAAATTACAATTTTGCATATTATTGCATATGTCAGCAAAACACTGATGTTTCAACATTTATCTTATAGATTTTCGCATCTTTCACTCGTACATAACAAGGCTCAAGATGGGAAAAGGCGTATCGGCATTTAATGAACGAACGGAAGAATCCTCGGCGATGCAGTATTTCCAATTTTATGGCTACTTGTCGCAACAGCAAAACATGATGCAGGATTACATCAGAACCAGCACGTACCAACGAGCGATCCTCGGCAACTTGTCCGACTTTAAGGACAAAATAGTGCTAGACGTTGGAGCTGGATCTGGCATATTATCATTCTTTGCTATACAAGCGGGCGCGAAGAAAGTGTACGCGGTAGAGGCGAGCAATATGGCGAATCACGCGGAACTACTAGTTGCAGCTAATAATTTATCGGACAAAATCGTAGTGATAGCTGGCAAGATAGAAGAGATCGACTTGGCGGAACGTGTAGACTGTATAGTGAGCGAGCCTATGGGATACATGTTGTATAATGAAAGAATGCTGGAAACTTATTTACACGCGAAGAAGTGGCTAGTTCCGGGTAAGTTTCCCGTGAAAAAAAAAGAGGTAAAGAAAGGCCGCTTTTCTTCCCAATTTTTCCTTTTTTTAATGAAATTATTTTCATGTCCACACAGGTGGGAGGATGTTTCCCTCCAGAGGTGATCTGCATATTGCGCCATTTTCGGATGAAAATCTTTACATGGAACAGTTCAACAAAGCCAACTTTTGGTATCAAACGTGTTTCCATGGAGTGGATCTCTCTGCCATGAGAAACAACGCCATTAAGGAATACTTCAGGCAGCCGATTGTCGATACTTTCGATATTAGAATATGTATGGCGAAATCGGTGAGGCACATAGTAGACTTCCAAACAGCTGATGAGACTGATTTACATAAAATAGGTACACGACAGAAAGAATCTCAAATATTATGATATATAAAGAGATATATAATATAATCCTACTAATATATTACAAATTGTATCGCCTTCCAGAAATAGATGTCGATTTTCATATACTGGAGAGTGGCACTTGCCACGGTCTAGCCTTTTGGTTCGATGTAGCATTTATCGGATCGACGCAACAAGTTTGGCTGAGTACAGCTCCTACAGAACCTCTCACTCATTGGTATCAAGTGCGCTGCCTCCTGGAAAACCCGTTGTTTTGTAAAAGTGGACAGCTGCTCTCTGGGAAAGTAATTCTTATAGCGAATAAAAGGTGAACAGGCTAACTTATAACTCGCGTACAGTCACGAGAGACTTGATATGCCGCATTGTCCTTATGGTGTATGCTTATTTCAGACAATCTTATGACGTAACAATAGACCTGAAACTTGAGGGAACGAATTTGGAAAGCAGTAGCAACACTTTAGATTTGAAAAATCCTTACTTTCGGTATACGGGTGCCGCAGCACAGCCACCACCTGGTTTGAACAACACCTCGCCTAGCGAGGCCTATTGGACAACCCTGGATGCACAAGGTGCTCGACAAGCGGTGAATATGGTTAACGGCATGTCGGTTAATGGCCTCGGCGAAGTCTCGATGGATACGAGTACGGCCGTAAATCCAAATAATTTGCTGGCAATAGGTAAGATTTGGTTTGACTCCCCAGTATACCACTACATGTGTTAAACGTGCCATGTGTAATACTTAATATTGTAATCAATGTCCTAGTGTCACATACAACGCCAGAAAACTTTCAATTTCTCCAATGCCTCGATTAATTTTTGTACTAAACATATTCCTGAGATCTATTGTGTCAAAGTACCATGGACGATATTTATTTATTAAAACATAGGATATCTGAAGTGAAACGTAGTAGTAAATGATTAACTTCAAAATTTCAACAATGCATTTCATTTGTCTACCGGTTCCCTGTAGTCCCCACTATATGCTACGATAATACATTCTATATGACATGTTATTGTACAAGAATATCCTGATCCACGTTCCTTTATTTAAAAAAAAATGTGACGTTTTATTCTCTATCTTGTCGGAGCCCTCTTATTACCTCAGTGACGCTTCTTCGATATAAGAAATATAATGTTAAAAAATTAGCATGAAATATAATAGCTGGTAAAACATTTTATTGGACAATTCACATTAGAGTGCTACAAACGTGCTTCGAGAGCTATTATTAGATACTGTTATTAGTGTAGAAATATATTTTCTTTTATGTATACACATCTGCAAAATTGTAAAGTAAAAAATACCTATGGATAATAGCTGCAAATTATAGTTTGTTCCGATAGTGAAACACTTAGAAGACAAGCGCGTTACAATAAATGTAAGTTACCTTTGGCTCTTATGTGGTGATATTGTTCTAATTATAAATGTCTTGTAACTATTAAATATCAATTTGTGTCGAACCTTTCTATTGTAATAGTACTTACAGAGAATGGACTGAGATATTTTACTATTCTACATCACATGCAAGACACTTGTACAAAGGAGAGAAAGTTCCTTGTGATTGTTCTAATTTATAAATCTTGTAGAATCCAACTCATGTAAATAAACTTCTTTTTAGTAGTATGGGCTTACAAATATTTAACTATACTAATCCCATATCTGAAAGTTGAGTTGTTCTTTTTATCCCATTATTTTTGTGTGAGTATAATTTAAAATTATCCTACTTATTTAATAAATGCAAAAGTAGATACGTATCTACTACGAATCAGGATAAGCCCATTTTTTTAACCATTGAGCGCCTATAATAGTAGGTTGCTTCAATGGCTTATATAAATATCTTACTAGACTGTTTATTTCACTTATTTTTAGATGCACGTTTTATATTTAACTATTTTATTGTAAATCCAATCACTAACAATGTTTTTATGCACATTTCCAACCGATCAGTTTGCTTTGTGCATATGAAATTTAGCAAATGCGTTAATGCGTATAGAGCTTTTATTCAATTTTTTTCTTTATCAAGGACAGTTAAAAAAATGCTTTGTAATTATAGGCAAAATAATATTGCAAAAAGAAAAGTATGCTACTTGTACCTTTTATTTGTATTTGCGTTCCAAATGCTATAGATCTACACACGCAGTATTTAACATGATAGATGAAACACGATTTTCTTTATGCAACAGGCGGGCAACCGAACATACATCCCGGATCCATCTCGAGTACTGGGCGGGGTCGTGTAGGAGGTACTGCTACGAGCACACAAGCAGCACAGTTGATAGGCGGTGGAATAACTCCAAACATGTTCACATCAC